CTATGAGTCTCAAGAAACTACAGCACATAACAACAACAACAAAACACATTCTTAAATGGGAGTGAAAATCATGATGGGAAAAGAATTCTATCCAAAATCATTTTTAGAAGCCATGGTATATAAAAAAAAGAGAATAAAGATATAAAAGAGGAGGAAAATGAGAGAGAGAAAGAGGAAATTTAAAAGTTTTCAGAGGCTTACGTTGTTAAGTTCCATCAAGTTGACTACAAGTCATAGTGACCCTATGAACAATGACTCTGAACCTTGCCCTATCCTGAGCCAACTTCACCATTTCCAACATACCTGACCCCATTGCCAGTCATTGTGTCAATTTCTCTCATCCAGGGTCTTTCTCTCTTGTACTGATCTTCCACCTTTTCAAGTGGAGTGCTCCCTCCTGGCAACATATCAAAAGTATATGACTTGGAGTTTCACCACTCTTGCTTCCAAGGAGCACCCTAGTTTCACTTTATCCAGGGCAAACCTGTCTGTTGGTTGGTGGGGGTTTTTTTGTTATTATTTGTTTGTTTGTTTGTTTGTTTGTTTCCCCACTAGTTTATTTGCAAAACTAAAATAAAATTAGGACAAATTTTTTCAACTTCCCTCACCCCCCCCATAAAATTATACAATCCAATGATTAATCCCCCCTTTCCCCTGCACATCCACATCCCTCTGCTTCCAGCCTGTCCCACCCCTCCTGGATCCTTATATTCATTCTACAGTAACAGTTTCATACAATATTTATCCTTGTGGGACTGCATTAGTTCACTCAGTATAATGTTCTCCATTCCCTCCCAAGTTAGGTAATAATTTACAAAGTTATTGCTCCTGCATGCTGCATAATATTCCATTGTGTGAATGTACCATAATTTCTCAATCCATTCATTTTATTGACAGTTCATATTACATTTGATAATGTTCTCCAGCACCACAACTCAAAAATATCAATTCTTTTGTCATCCTTAGTCATTGTCCATCTTTCAGAAGATAATTTTTTTGATCAGGTGCAACTTAGTTTTTAGACTGACCCAAATCTTACACATCTTCTGGTCACCTGACTTCTGGTGCCAAAAGTGTTGATTGTAGATCTGAACAAGATGAAATCGTTAACAACTTCAATCCTTTCTCCATCATGATACTGCCTATTGGCCCGGTGATAAGGATTTTTGTTTTCTCAATGTAGAGATATAGTCCATTTTGAAGGCTATAGTTTTGATCTTCCACAGCAAGCATATCAAGTTCTGTTCACTTTCAGCTAGCATGGTTCTGTCATCTGCATAATGCAGGTTGCTGAATCTTTCTCCCATCCTGATGCCACATTCTTCTTCATAAAGTCCAACTTCTCTAATGATTTGGCTGTTGTTGTTGATTGTCATGGTTGACTCATAGCAACCCTATGAACAAAAGACCTGAAACCTTTCTATAACTATCGTCGTTTCTCAAAGTTCATAGAGTTATCAGAGGCATGTAGTTTAGGAAGTGGATGACACTACTGCTTCCCAATCTTTACCACCCATGCTATATTCAGTATATAAACTCTACATCAAGAAAACAAAGATACATCCCTGATGCACTCTCTCTCTTCTTGATTTTGAACTGTGCAGTGTTCCCTTACCCTAATCTGACAACAGCTTCTTGGTCTAGGTATAAGTTTCACATGAACACAAGAGTTCTATGATGTTGTGATCCACACAGTCGAATGCTATTGCATGGTTGATAAAAAACAAATAGACATCTTCCTAGTACTCTGTGCTTTCAGTCAAGAAACATCTTTAACTATAACAGTACCAGACCATTAACATTAC